TTTTTTTTTTTTTTTTTTTTTTTTTTTTTTTTTTTTTTTTTTTTTTTTTTTTTTTTCATTATTAAACGCTCGCGTAGGCAACTCGTGATATTTTTCTTTTATTTCTTTATAATTATTTGTACGTAAACCTACATACTGTCACGATGGTTGAGTCGAAAATATCAATATTGTCGGAAAAAAATACTTATCCGCGTTTGGAAAAAAAAAGCCGCCGAGAGCATTTAGTGCAGAGAGAGAGAGACGAGGTTGTCCTCGTGTGTGTCCGCAGCGACGAGGACAGGGAGGTATCCTCCGGTCGACGAGGGGGACGAGCACGTCTACGCCGAGCCGACAGGGCCCGACGATCGGACGCACGTCCAAGCCTGCCCAATCGCCCACGACAGACACCGTTGCCTAAGGCAGACGAGGGAACTTACCGCTGCGAGGGTCAAAGCCGCGCCGAAGCGAGTAGAGCTCGCGCGCCCGGTTACCGCGGTCAAGTCAAGGTTTTTTTTTTCACTCCCTTTTGCCCCCTGCCGTGTACTTACCTATATACATTCCGCGCCTTTTATCACTACGCAACAGAGAGTTCACTTCGGGGTTGTGTAATATTTTACTGTTTTCATCAATTAAGTTCATCTGCAATAATGTTTTCTGCAAATTTTCAATGCGTTATTCGTGTAAAAAACTTTTTTTCACACAATTTTTATAATTTCGACCATCCAGTAGTTTTTTTGTGTACAATAAATGAGGATCAAATTCACTAGTTTCATTCGTTATGAATTACGAGTAAAAATTTTTAAACTAAATTTTTTTGAAATTATAATTTTTAACGTAACAACTGATCTCGATTGATAACTAGAACGTATATCTAATCAATTATTCACAACCCCCGGTGTACTTTATTCGGTTTCGCCGACTTTCAACGAAATTAATTGAAAGTAAAGTTGATAAATGTGAGTCGGGATACTGAATATTCTAACCCCTTCTTCGAAGCAAAGTTGTATTTATGGTTGTCAAAATTTAATTTCTTTTTGGTAACATAATAACTACGTAGTGCTTACAAAGGTAATTAAAATTTTTTTTTTTTTTTTTTTTTTTTTTTTTTTTAACAAAAAAACGACCTTTGTATTTTTTTCATCTGCTCTTTCTTTCGATGAACGAATTCTATGAGATTGTGCCGGAGCCGCTTAATATTGATTTACTCACAGATCTTACAGGTAATCTTGGATTTTCTATTACCAAACTATTTNACGTTTTTGATGATTTTTCGGGTATTTTTTTTTTTTTTTAATGGACAGCAATGGAATAAAATGAAACTATAATAAAATTGTTAATGATTTAATTACAATTTTTAATTAATAACAATCAAGTGAAATGATTGTTTGAAAATATTTTCCGACAACCTCAATAAATACAACTTAACGTATATCCAAAAATTGCTTCTTAGTTGAACGAAATATTATATTAAATTATTTGAAACTGTTTTTTCAAATATTATGTGTTTCCAGGTTTTTTTGTATAAACTGCTCATCCGAGTAGGTAGTATATACATTTTGACAACCACAGTTTGAAGTCTTAGTCTATCATCTTCGATTTCATATATATAGTATGTCAATGCGGGGGAAGCCGTTGAAAGCAAAAATTTTCTTGCACAACTTTATCGTTCAACGTATAATTTAATGCAACATCAAATCCAGCAATAATTTTAACGCGTATGTAAAATTTATGCCTCTTCTTTGATCATAATGATGTACGCCATATCTAATTAAAAAATTTCATATATTACTTTGGTTCATTAAATTAGCTTGTGAAACATTAAATTTCCAAAGGCATTTCGGAAGCTGTTTTTAATTCTAGCGTTGTTGCGTCCATTTTAAATGATGTCATGAAATTGAAAAAAAAAAGTAATTGCTTGACACGAGCTTCCTTACTTTGCTTACTTAAAATTATTTTGTTGCGATCATTTTAGGAATCACATTGAAAACATCCGTATTGTAGGTCCCTTACGAATAATTAATTTTACCGTAAAAATTCGTTTGCATACGTCATATACATACCTATATACCGCAGCTTAGAACCCTCTCGAGTTGCTCGCACACAATATCGGCATTCACTTGAAACCGCGAAGCATTTGAACGCTAATTTTAGCATCGTATATAGATATACTTGCCTCTAAGCTCTGTAAGTTCCCTTGTAAGTGTCTCGTCCCATGCCATTCGCACATACGTACATACATATAATATATAAATACGTATGTGTACATATATACATGCATTATGCTTACATTCAAATGTATATTATAAATAGACGTAGGTTCGTGTATGCATAATAATTATGCTAATTTTGCCATACGTGAACGTACGTCTAATAGTACAATAAAAATTGCTTTCACGTATACAATGCTGCTTTTCATATCCGTGCCTATACGTACATGTATTATGCATCTCACGGCGTACAGCTCAGCAAATAATTTTGCTAACTATTTGACTATTTAGAGTGTTTTGATGTGGTAGATTTCTCGCTATGAACATGAATATTGTGTTATGTTTTGTGGATCGTGTTGGAAAAAAGTTAGTGTTGGTTTAAAAAAAAAAACAATTTTTTTTTTTACATCTATTTGATGAATATACCAACAAACAAATTTAGTCGAGAATAGTCAATTGCTTAAATAGAATTTTTTTATAATAGATCCGAATAACGAAGTCATGCATGCTTAAAATAAAGAAAAATTAATAAGTGTTAAAAAACAAAAAAAATAGTAATTTATGAATTAATACGGGCACCACAAACGGAATTGTCTTTAAAAATAATTGTGTGGAAAATGAAAAATTTTTATCAAAAGAAAAAAAAAGTAAATTATTATTCTTCAATACCATTGTTGCTAAAAAGTTACGTTAAAAATAAAAAAATATTTCTACATCGAAAATTCAAAAATGTTAGAGTCAAAATCATTGATTACAGTACATCTTTATCATTAGAGAAATAACCATACTAAAGTAGAAACAAAAGATATTGAACTTTGTATCAGAGTTTGAACCTTAACTATTAAAATTAGTCATGGTGCTTTGATTTTATTTTTTTTATTTTTTTTTTTTTTTGTAACTTTTACTATGATTAATTATTCTGTTAACAATACCAAACTCTTCATACGAACAATTTTTATCCAACAAAATTTGTATGCCAAATAGAAAAATGAAAACTCCACGAAAACGACACAACACGTAACACATATCCACTTAATCGCAAAAAAATCGGAAAAAAAAAACGTAAAACCTTGATTGCAATATTAACCCGCTCGATGAGAAGAATTTTTTTTTTCTTTTTTTTTTTTATGTATATACTTATAAAAAGAAAAAGGCAGCATTGGGAGCTTTTTGCCCGACGTGCTATCACGCGCCACACACACACACATAGCAATGAAGCGCGTGTGAGCGACAGGCAGGTACTTAGCGCGTAGAAAAACTAGATTAGCGTACCATGCAATGCAGGCATGGGCATAACAACGGGGCACTCAATTCTGGGACTCCGTCCCCATTGTCCTCGCGCCACAGCAGCCAGGACAGCCTGCACAAGAACAACCTGGCGTGCGGCCTGCCCATCGGCCAATTCACCGGCTCCCACCAGTTCCACATGCCTGCCAACCTCAGCCCCGCCACAGCAGCGGCTGTCGCGGCCGCCGCGCAGAAGAAGAAGGGCATCAAGAGCAGCCTCGGGAGGTTCTTCAGCAAAAAGGAAAAGGTTTGAAAACTGAGTTGTTTCATTTCTGTTTTTTTTTTTTTATTTTTTTTTTTTTTNTTTTTTTTTTTTTTTTTTTTTTTTTTTTTTTTTTTTTTTTTTTTTTTTCTCGAGAGAGAAGACAATGTTTGCGTTTCATTGCAGATCAAGGGCAAGGACGTGTCGATGCCCGGCGACGTTCCCGGCATGGGTGGCGTGGGCACGCCGGATCCCGATTACGGGGAGATCGCGGCTGGATCGGTGGCCGGGGTTCTTTCCAACAAGGGCGACTTTGACCGCAGAAAAAAGAAGAGGTGTGCATTCGTTCGCAAAATTATATATATATATGTTTCTGCCTCTTGGCGATCATTCGTTTCATCGTATACCGAGTGTCGTTGGGACGTGGCGTGTGAAGGAATATGCCAGTGTGACGCTTTTAAGAAGGTGTACCGGCAAAAACTAAAAAAATGGTTTGGTAATACTGGATAACAAAAAAAAATTGCGTTCTTTTTAAGAATGGGTGAATTTTTTTCTATGAAAAATTATTTGGTTCCGTTAGACCTTTATGGGATTCGCTAATTTAATTTTATCAAATGTCACGTTTTTGATGATTTTTCGGGTATTTTTTTTTTTTTTTAATGGACAGCAATTGGCTTATTTTTATTATTTTTTTTTTTTTTAAAGGATAAATTTTTGAACTGCTCTTTAAAAGTGTTGATTTGTTTCAACGGTACTTTAAATATACAATTTAATCACTGACCCCATGAGAGCCTGTGTTGAATTGAGTTTTTTGTTTTCCTCGAAAATACTTGTACGTCTGGAATTCAATGTTGAAAAAATTCATGCGCGCATAAAATGTACTTGAAACGAAAGAAATTTTGTTTCAGCAACTTAACGTATATCCAAAAATTGCTTCTTAGTTGAACGANTCATTTTATACCAAAATAATAATTGCTGCATAACAATAGTCATAACAATACGTGTTGATGCGTATAAACGTAATTGCTCTATATATATATATATATGACACGCCAGGTCCTCGTCCAACGTTCCGACTGATTCTCTTTCGTAATTGAAACCGGTAAAAAAAATTGACGTTAAAAAGCCAACGACGACGAAAAAGGTCAGATTGACGGTAGACGCGCAGTGTAAACGTATCGTGTGATTTAACGTTCTCAGTATGCTGGACACGTCGAGGCACGAGCTACTGACGGAGGCCATGAAGGCCGGCACGCCGTTCGCCCTCTGGAACGGACCGACGATCGTCGCTTGGCTCGAGCTGTGGGTGGGCATGCCCGCCTGGTACGTCGCCGCGTGCCGGGCCAACGTTAAGAGCGGGGCCATCATGAGCGCCCTCAGCGACACCGAGATTCAACGTGAAATCGGCATCAGGTACAGTACCTCCGGCTTTTAGTGTTTTGCAATGTTCCCTGGCTTTTGTAGAAAGTGAATAAACACATGATGATGCGTTTGTTGCTGTGGCTTTGACCCTAGTAATCCACTGCACCGGCTTAAACTGAGACTGGCAATCCAAGAGATGGTCTCGTTGACAAGCCCGTCCGCGCCGAAGACGTCGAGGACGACCTTGGCCTTTGGGGACATGAACCACGAGTGGATAGGCAACGTTTGGCTGCCGAGTCTCGGTTTGCCGCAGTATCGGTCTACCTTCATGGAGTGCCTTGTAGACGCCAGGATGTTGGACCATCTCACCAAAAAGGACCTTCGCGGTCAGCTTCGAATGGTGGATAATTTTCACAGGTGGGTACTTTGGTTTTTATCATGGGTCTACCTTTGATCGACTAGAGACCTCACGGGTGCGTGATTCTTACAGGACGAGTTTGCATTTCGGCGTTGCCTGTCTGAAGAGATTGAATTACGACAGGCAACAGTTGGAAGATAGAAGAAGAATGGCAGAGGGTGCGAATGTCGATGCGCTAGTCTGGAGCAACGATCGCTGCATCAGATGGGTGCAATCGATCGGATTGAAGGTATTGACAACCTCGGCAAACATTTTCCTGCTCTCTCGTTATTCTGGGTTTATTGAAAATACACATTTTTGTTTTTTTGTTCAATTTTCTTCAACAGGAGTACGCAAATCATCTCCTCGAATCGGGAGTTCATGGTGCCCTTATTGCCCTCGACGAAACTTTCGACGCCAATGCTTTTGCTCTGCAATTGCAGATACCAACGCAAAACATTCAGGTGAACAAACATTTTTACCATGAATAATATGAAACTTTAGTATATTCATGTAAACGAAAATTTAATGGTCAAACTGACTTTTTTTTTTGTTTTTCAGGCGCGACAGATTTTGCAAATGGAATTTTCAAATTTATTGACAACAGGGACCGAAAGGCGGCTTGACGACGCGAACAGCATGAAATCCTGATCAAACTCGTCGAGGCTTCAAAACCTCGAACCCCACGTCTAGTCCAAAAATCCCAGCTATTACTACTAACTGTGCGCAAGTGTATTCTCCAACCTTTGTATAAGAGCTTTATGTATCACTTTTAAGGGCATCTTCGCAAATTGAATGTGACACATGGTCATGTAAAAGGTAAAGCAAGCAAAATACAAATCATACTTATAATACAATGCAATGAAATATTGAAGTGATTTTTCAAACGCTTCAAACTCATTATATGGCGAATTTATAATGCCGCGTGTCATATTATCCATAGTAAAACACGTAGTTAATCGTTAATCACGCAAGGGGAAAAAAAGAGACATTGAAATAGATAAAGAAAGAATCATGTAAGCTCGAATATAGATATCGGAATATAATAGTTACGCTACGTATAAATTGAATGCTGTGCCGTCGAAAACGGTGTAGCCGAAAAGAGAAAGAAAATATTTAATGAAGAGGTGAAAAGTTGTATCTCGTTTTGTCAAAAGCCAGTAGTACTTCATATTACAGGCTTTCGTGACAATAAAATTGTCTTTGATGGCATATCCGCGCGTCTGATATAAATACATATATATATATTATTTAAAAAAGCGTCACATTTTGTACGTGCATTTTGTTACTATAAACTTCTCCGCTGCTTAAGGTTATCTTACTCTCATACGTAAAAATAATAGTGTATCCCTTTCGGCGCGTAAAATCCGGGGATTTCGTGCCACGCACAACAAAGTCGTAATAGTAATTAAACGAATAGTCGTATGACAGGAGAAATGAAAAAGTTAAAGCGTTCAGTATTATCTGTTACTGATTAGTGTCGAAGAATATCACCGTTATTTCTCACAGTGACCGAAAACAATACAGAGACAGTATCCTATACATTATAACTTCAGTGCCTCCGCACCATGAAACGGAGAAACTCGTTGACACAACAATTGTAATACATACGCATACTTTTTTTTTTTAATTTTACTTTGCTATTCAATTACTTGTTTATAGTACCTTAGCGAACCACTCGTTCTGGACTAAATTGATGTTATTTGCAACGTATTTATTTTAAATAATGTTGCAGTCATCCCTCGTGACCATCAAGATTTATGTTCCTAGAAAATTCTATGAACACTAGGACATCTCGATAGCATGGTAAAAGAGTCGAACTACATTTATTCATACGCTTATCAAATTATTAGATCATGTCTAGATATTTTGGTGTTCTAGTGTAACTTTTTTTTTCTTCATTTATTTTCCTTTATTCTATACCAACGAAACTATAAAAAGTTTTTGGAACTGATACATTGTCAACTTAAACTTTCGCAAGTATCGTGAATGTGCGATTAACGAGGGACATCTGTATTTTGTTTTTATCAGATCATATATTTACATTTATACATATTATTTTTTTTTTTTTCACGTATTTTAAATTTTTTAAGCATTTTTATGAAGGAAATTGAATGGTGTGAATTTTTTGTTTATTGATTTTTTTTTGTGTAACATGCGATTTATTACACGTATTGTTTACTACATTAGTAGACAAACTGAACATTTTGTAAAATTTTGTTTTCCTTTTCTAATTAAACTATTGACAGATACCTTGTAATTATTAAGGTGTTTTAAGGTTTTGTAAATTTCAAATATAAGACTGGTACCTAACAGAAAAATTCTTAAAAATATCTCTAGTTCTTTGAAAAAAAAGAGTTTCTATGAAAAACTCAATGTGTATAAAATATGTGCTTTGTTAGATTTTTTAGCAACGTCTTACAAGCTATTTCCATTCTTTTTGTTACAAAATGTGTACATTTTTCTGGCAAGGTATCACTAAACCAATTGAATAAATGCAAGCGATATAAATTTTTGACTGCGTAATCAGGACAAACGGTAGTAATAAAAAATTTCTTGATTATTATCAATTAATAAAAATAAAGTCATTTTATACCAAAATAATAATTGCTGCATAACAATAGTCATAACAATACGAGTTGATGCGTATAAACGTAATTGCTCATAAAAATAGAATTAACTGATCATGTGCAGTGGCATGTGGACCTTAATTCTTTAATTTGAATTGATGTCTAAAAAGAAAAAAAAAATTGCATAAATTAACAATCAATTTAAAAACATTGAAAATTTTATTTTCATTGCAAGAGAAACAATTAAGTAATACTAAGTCAACTGACTTTTATTGTATCTATTGTACGAAAAGTATCATTTAAAAAATGTGATTTACTTGAGTCTTCAACATAAGGTGAAGTATTGCGTGAAGCACACTTGTCGAGATTTTTTTTTTTAAACGAAAAAAATTCTTCTATGTAAATCATGTCTCATAAATTTTTTATTTATAAAAATTACAGTATTATTGAAAAGAAATTTCTGTTGTTTTCTGTTACAACCAGTCAAAAATGTTTAGACAACCTAATACTTAAATCTTACCATTAGTTTAACGTATGCATCTTAAGATAACAGTAAATAATTTTGTTGCGTTTATAAAAGTAATAGCGTGGCGGTATTTCGAGTCAGATACACGTATATAATACGTAATTCGTGAATTTTTAGTCATTGGTACATTAAAATATGATTGTAAGTTTTTTTT